AGGTTTTACATTTGCAAAGTTTGCCTTAAGGACTCGGAAGTCCCAAGTATGTACTAGTAAACGTGAGCATCCCTTCCTACACTTTTAACTCCAGAATTTGCGGCTTTGCAGAAAATCCGCAATAATCGCATATTTCGGGGTAGAAAGTGGAAAGTGCAATTCTCGGTAAAAAGTTAAATACCGGTAAATAAAAAAAAATAAATATTTTTGATTGTTTCTGCAAAATTAATCAAATCAATATGAACCCAAATTAGGAATGACAACTCATTTTCACTGTTTAACTCACTTTGAAAGTAACATTTGGTAGCGTTTCCCCTCCTGTTTTTCCTTTGTGATATCGCAGTCTTGCTTTCCTACGGCTCCGCATCGCGGAGATCACACAGGTCCCTGTTCCCTACATAGTGCCTAGACGTCTCATGGCTTATGAATAAATCAATGGGAACAGGGACCAGTCCAAGATCACAGTGGCATGGTGCGTGTAGACCCTACATGTATCATTATGCCAAAGATACCTGTAGATGTACGGTAAATGTAGGCCTACACTACATGTACATACATGTATGTACAGTCACATATAGTTTTTGTATACAAAATTTAGAAAAACGGAAGAAAGCAGAATTTGACTTTCAGAAAGCAGAAAAATCTTGACTTTACTTTACATGTCATAAACCCTCCAAGTCAACATCCAACAGACTGCGTGTATGCTACTGCTACACTGTAAGACCAACTCTGAAATTAGCCATCTAAGCCCTTTTCACTTTCACCCTTTCCTGCTCCCACTGAACTGGATTCCTTTCAAACTGATTTCACCTCCCCCCCTTTCCATCAAGTTCAAGAATCTTTCACTACAAATCATAGCCATAATCCAATTATGGCCAGCATTGGAGCCCAGTCAAGTGGCATGCCAAATCCTGCCTGGGTCTTTTGTGGGCCTGCTCCAGTGTCCTGTAGGCACCCCTTCAAAAGAAGAATGGGGAGGGGGGGTGACGACTGGACCCCAAGCAAAAGGCAGAGAGAGAGAGAGAGAGAGAGAGAGAGATGGGGATCTCCAACCAATTCTTAAGGCCTCCTGTCTGTATGCAAATGAGATGCACAGAGCAGGCTCTTTCAAGAGGTTTTTCTTTGAGAAGGGATTAGCACCTAGGACTTTACAGCAATGCCTATTCAGTTGGACAAGGTGGCTTGTGGGGAGCGTTTTTTGTGTGTGGGCAATGGCATGAGGGAAGACAGCCATAAACACAGAGGGGCAAAAATTGTGCAGGTTCAGCGCATTACAGCTCTGCAACTTGTACACCAGCCAAAATGGGAAAGTCTCACAGCGACTGCATGAGCATGGGGATGATGCCAGGTTGGCTGACTACACGAGCCATTGACAAGAGCTGTAAATAAGCCACAGTCAAACGGAAACTGGGGCTTACATGTAATCTTGCTTCAGATATTTGCGCCCTGTCAACAAATCCTACAGTACGTATGGCAAACACAGAATGTGATGATGGTTTGCTTGCATGTTCTGTCCAGCGATAAAAAGCTGTTTTTGCAGATTTCTTCCTTAACAACATGTTAATGTACCGGTACACATGTACCCGGTACATGTGTGTGTGCATCTTTCTTGGAGGTCGCTGGAATAAAGGCATGGTACATGTACATGTATTTCTGTGAGGTTGTTGTACACACTCAACTTATGATAATCTTATTTCAAATTTCCCATCCCAGTCCAGCCTGAGCTGCTCCCAATCCCTCTTAAAGGCTCCAAAGCAAACTTCCATGTACAGGTGATCAGTAATTATAACAATGTTATATTTGGTAATTGGCAAGGTGAGCTGCAACTGAGGGTCCTACTGTGTGGGGACCATCGCTTTTCCCAGCTTGAACCAATGGTGTTGTCTGGTCACACATGGTGCTTTTCTGTTTCACTTGCCACCACTATCAAATTGAATTACCGTGCAAAAATCAACTCAAACCCCCGAACTGGCAGGCTTGCTTTTGCCGCTGCTCCCCAGGGGGGACCCGCGGAGTTAATTTCTTGAGCGGGAGAGAGCAACAACTGTTACAGTTCAAAAATGCAGAGCCTCTTTGGGGGCTTGATCAAAAAAACAAGCAGGCCTGCACCGACATCCGTGCTTTAATCTTGAGTGTGAGGCTGACAGGCTACGCAAGGCGCTGGGCAGTGGGAAGGCAGGAAGCAGTCCAAACAGCCTGTCAGAGGGATTGAACATGCCAGGCCCAAACTTCAATCGGGGCCGCCTCTCCCCTAGACAATCTGATCAGGGAGGCATGTTCAAATAGACGTTTATCGGCAGATTTCTCGGCTGACGGCACGCGAAAAGGAGCATGGCGGCAGAACAAAGAGACTGCTGGTTATGAAAATTTGATTCCAAGATAAAAAGGCCGGCACAATGGAGCATAGTGCAAGTCACACTGACGGGGCGGCCAACTTTCATTTCTTTCAGAGGCTCACCGAACAAGGTGACAATTACACGTACACAATACCGGCACAGTTCTACCGTCGACATTAACAAAAGTATGGAGGAAATGGGTGAGGAGAAACCTCTTAAAATACTTAACAAAACCTCTTCATGCAGATTAGGAAAATTGTCACTTCGAATTACGTCCGTAATCATGGGCTGTGCTGAACATGCTGTTGTGTGTGAATGAGCTGCCCGGTCCAGAAGACATTGATTTGCATTTTTACCTGGGGCATTCAACTGATTTCATTATGCTTCCCAGGATAAAAGAAACCTCCATTTGGTGATAAGATCATAACTGGGTCACTGGCTAAGGTTCCGTTTTTTTTTTTTTAGTCGGCAAGCCATTCCGACGTCTTCATTCAAACCTCTGAGGGGTTTTTCTGATTGGACTTGCTGATGAGCCCGATGTCATGGGAATGGCTTATACCGTACTTGCCGGGGCCACTGTGGTGCTTAGCGGTTCACGTAAAAAAGGAGGGCACAACTACAGGTAATATCTGAAAAACGAAACAGCCAGGAAGAATCTTCACCAGGATCACACAGCCGCTGTCAAGCAGAAAGCAGGAAAATGACAGTGGAAATCAATGCCGACTGTGGCTCCATTAAAATCAGCCATTCACCCAGTGACTACATGTGCACAGCATGCAACATGGGCTTAAGTTCCTCCAACTATAATCCCATCAGAGTTTTTCCTGGGCGCCCAGGGGAAATGCAACAAAATGCAACAGTGGATATTGTGGTACTATGGAGGAAGGAACACAGGTGCTCCTTCCTCCATGGTGGCACTGAACAGTCTACTAAATAAACATAGTATCTACATGTACGAGTATCTTTGCAGCGTTCCTCACAACCTGTGTTGTACGGCTGCAACAGTACCGTACATCCTGCATTATATGGCATCTTTTCAGCAAGTGCTTACATGTATGTGTTCCTTCTGTTGCTTCAGCACCAGTGCCATGCACAGTATTCTGAGTGTCAAAAATTGTCACATTAAATCCGCAATGCTGGCAAATGTAGGCCTTGTATTAAAATCATGACCAAACATCCATTACAAATCACCACCCAGGTTCTATCCATTCTTTCGACGGATTCTGAAACATGCGAAATTTCTACATTATGAGACTTCAGGTCCATTTTTTTTCATTTTGGCAAATTTAAAAAAATGCCGCTCAGTTCCACAAACTGAAATATTGGGTTACCGCCTAACTCTGAAAGGTTACTGGCAAACAAATAAACTCTGAGGAAAAACATGTCGTTGCTTTGCTGCTGATACCTGTACATGTGGGTTCATATATTCAGTGGTATAATACCGAAAAGTTGACAAAGGACATCTGACCAACCATACTCTATATCAGATACTCAGATCTCAGATTAAACTTTCTGACAGGAAGCAAATCATCTTGTAATCCAAGGTTTGTTTCTTTTTTTTCTCTAGATTTTCTTCCATTTTTCCCTTTTCCCCCAAAACTTTTGGTCTGGACTATGCAGCACCTTTTTCACCAGACCAGAAAGTTAAAAGCACCCTCAATGTGGTGGTTTTCATTGGGACCACTGACAGGAACAAGTACCCTTCTGAGACAGTCTTCCCCCCCCCCTCTCTCTCTCTCTGGGGCCAACATTCCAAGGCAGCATTATCTGACCGGTGGGCAGCCAACCAGAAAAAAGGGGCTGTCATGGAGATGATTGTGGCTAAGCGCTCCAACAGCACCAGCCAAACATTGCCTCTCCTGTCCATGCTCCACTGATCAGAATATTTCAGTTGGTCGAATTAGATCAAATGGCAGCAGAAAAAAAACCACAGGGGGCATGACAAAGGACTGTAAGGCCAACGCCTTACGGAGCTTGCCAAGCAAATGTTGCAAAACATGTGGCAGAAGTGGGAAGTACCACTTTGAAAAATACCGATAGTTTGACCAGGCCTAGCAGCTTCCATGATACTCACTGATAAAAACTATCTGACCTACATGTACATGCAGGTACAACATCATATCCAATGTACACCCACACATGTAAGGTCGTGCTAGCTATTCGAAATTTGTAATTGACCTACAAATTTGGTTGCTCATCAATCGATGGTCATCAACACAATTTGCGGGAAAAGAAATTGTTTCTTTACACGCTATCCAAAGCAGCAAAAGAAAAAAAAACATTATCCTGGCAACTTATTCCAAGCTCAGAAGGGAAACTGAGGCATTCATTACCCACGATTTCATGCTCATCAATAATGCAGTCATGATGATGAAAGTTTGCATTTAACAACAAAGGCCATGGAAAATGACGTCACTCACAACAGACAGTTGAAATGGCAAAATTGAAAGTAAGGAGGCTCTCTGAACTTAAGATCTCTCTACTGCAAGGGCCCTTTAGGGAAGACGTGTTGCCACCGTGTCAGTGCAGTGACCTGCTATTACTTACAGCGCACGACAGCGATATTGGCAGTTGGGAATTTTGTGAAGAGTGCCCAATGTGTTGACTGGCGCCAGCAGACTCCAAGTTGCCCCACCCCCTTCTGACAAAGCACATTGTACTTACACACTGGAGTCCGTCAGCGACAAGGTGTCGTCTGAAATGGCGTCGCTTGACAAGCTCTGCAGCTCAGAATCATTGGTGGACACAGCTGGCGCGAAAGACGTGAAGCCGGGGTGGTAAGGGTTGAGCACTCGCGCACTGCTTCCTTTCAGGTAGCACCTGGATATAATCGAGGAAGAGAAAAATCACACTTACTGTGACTAGCAAAGCAATCCCCCCAACTCCAAAGAGAAATCTTCAGGGAGCGGATTTATAAATCGATACATACTCTTGCACATCATACACCCCTTGATAGGTTCCATCCTGATCAAATCTTGAGAAAATGTTTGAAAGTTTCAGGCAAATACATATAATAAATACCATCCAGAAAAAAAAAGAAATTATGAAGCCGAAAGAGCTGAGTAAAACCACTTCTCTTAAATTAACGTCCATAGAATAGTTTTCTTATCTATGTGCATGTACATATATTTAAGATTATTCCAAGAGCCGTAAATAAAATAAATGACAAATTATGATAATCAGCTCTTCTTTCATCTACAAAACCATCCATGTACATGCACTAGTCCACTGTACCTTGTATATGTACATGCAAGACTTGGAAAATCAAATATAAGGACATGGCATATTTTCACCAACATTTCAGATGAACAGTTGATTCTTGGGCAAGTCTTTCATTTCAGAGTGTACACATGCTGGAATGTACATCACACATATGCTTTGACATTAAAACTGTGAATCTTTCACTAAACAGACCTACATGTATACCGGTGTGTACCAGAACAAGGAATACATGAATATATGCACCACAGCTAAGACTTGCGTGGTATTCTTTACACATGCATTTGAATGGTTAGACTCTAAGCACAAGCAAACCTTCCCATTGGATATCTTCATTTCATATACACCTGTTACCACAATACAGCACCGTAGCTGGGCATATACATGTACATGTAAGCCAAGTGAATGATATAAAATACATGCCAAATTTTAGCAAGTCACCAGCTAACGCCTTAAAAACTGTGCACACTCTAGAGATTGACGTTCAGGTGCCAAAAATCACTCTTTGGTCATTAACCGAGACCTGGGGTTTTGGCCCAAGTTCGCAGCACTTTCACACTTTTCTGCGGCTAAGGCCATTTGCCAGTTTGTCCCCAGTAAGGCTTAGATCAACACAATTTTTTTGGCCACACTGGCTGCCCAGTGGGACATCAGTGCTGGCACAGTCAGTGTTGTACGCACAGCACAAGCGCCATGCACACACAAAAAGAGAACTACAAAAAGACCTTTTCCTGCTCTACACAGGAGGTTGATTTCAGTCAGGGTCGATGGATGGCCTGCATTGTCAGACTGTGTGGTTGGCCGATCAGGGGAGGCCAGAAGGGTGGAATGGCTGGGTAACCAATTGCTAAATGGCCAAAAAATAAAAAATGAAGGTCAATGGCTCTTACAAAGATGGACTCTCTCGTTGCCCGAACAGACATTGAGAAGTAAATACCCATGAAATGACGTCACTGCGACATCTGGCTTTATATTCCACCTGACTCTAGCAGACACCAGCAACACAAATCAATTTCAATTTTGACAAGGAGCATTGTTTATTTGAAGTAAAATTGCACACTCTTTTTACCAATGCTGTTTTGAAAATGCATTAAGTTCATCACAACTGTCTTGATTATATTCCTAGATTCTTATTTGTTTTCAAAGGCCAAGTAAATGTACATATATGTACATATAACAAAACAAGAAAGGCGGTTTGGGTCTTCAATCAATTCAATCTATTGGATGTTTGGTTATTTACACTATGGACTTCAAGTCAATATGGAGTTAACTACATGCAGTTCAGCACAAATTGTCAATAAATTAACTTCTGCAAGAGAAGGTGCATTCCCGACAAGTGCACTTAAACAATTTAACAGCCTTGGCCTGCAATGACCAACATGTACACAACAATTCTCCCCTTGTGAGCTTGGAGCTTTTGATCTTCACCCGATCTGCATCTACCAGTACCACTATGCAATTAAGACCAAGGACAGTTGCGGGGACCTTCTGCATCTGAACGTTTGCGCCGTTTGGACGCTGGGGTACTAATAAACAGAGGGCATGTAAGATGCTCATTGAAATCCACTAGTCGAGGCAGGGTTATCTGCTTATTGGTACAGTCACATCACGATGTGCCCGTAAGATGCCTTTCGTATACAAACACTGCTTGTACCCAATAGCTCATGCCCTGCATTAAGTTCATTGTGAGTGCATACAGATTATACATACATACGAGCATGCCGGGTGCCGGTTAAGGGAGGTGCTCTTACCTACATGTACATGTCTACTGGTACATGTAGGCAGTGCATATGGACGGGACGGTAACCAGTGCAAGTGTACGTGTACTGTATATTACTTTCCAGCTTATGTTAATTTGTTGCATCTCCAAGTACATGTACCCCTTATGAGTACATGTGTGTGCACCCAAGGGTATTTTTGGGTAGGCATTCACCACGTTCAGGGGACAAGTTCTTTTGTTAGGGAAATTTGAACTGAGTTATGGAGACACATTTCTGAGTCCCCACTATGTTGCTGGTCCCCACAAAATATGTGAAATATCGAGTGTACACATGCACGTCCCCACAACTACAGCGCGGGAGGGTGTGGTCTTGTCAATTTAACACACATGCTCACACATTTGAACAAATAGCAGGTCTAGCCCAATAAAGTACACGTACAAGTTCTCCATTGTTCCGATCAAGAGTTCCTTCAGTTTTGAATTTTAAGGTGTTGTGACAAAATCAGTAACATGTGCGCATGTGTCGGTTTCGTCCGGCCAAATGGTCCAAGTCAATTTCCAGCTTGAATACATGCACAAAGGAACGAAAAAGGCCTCAACAGCTGCAAGTGGGTTTTCCTTTTGATTTTTTTTTGGGGGGGTCCTCCTTATTTCCCTTCATGAAATTTCCAGCTCTTAACACACTGCACAAAATAAAAGGCATGTACATGTACATTGTAAACAGTACATGTATGTTGACTCATGCACTAGAGCAGGCGCATTAATCTACTGCACATGTACATGTATAAGTTGCTCACACCTTTGCATACATTGCTGTACCTTAATTTAGAGTAGAGGGAACACGTACAGAGAAACAACATTCAGTGTATAGAGAACCTACAGTACTGCACAATGTAACTTTCATTTCTGCGGCAATGTAACAAATCATCCATAGCAATACATGTAGACAGAAAAAAATGGACTTTGGACCAAAACGTTCCCTTTTAGAATCAACGATGCTCACACAAGAGATCGGCAAAATACGATCATATAATGACTGGGAAAATCCCTTTGTGTAACTGCCCCCCCCCTATTTCTTGCTGGTTACAGTCTTGTAGTTGGGTACATGCAACGGTATTTCTATTTCAAGCCTCCATTTTGTGGCCTGTCAGCCAAAGCGGGTGGCCGGATGTTCTATCAGGTAGAATATGCTTATTAGGAGTCTCTCCGAGGAGCCAGTCCTGTTTCTCCACTCTGGGTGCAATTACAAGACGGCGGCCAATGGGTCATTACCACAGAGACTTGCTGATCTATTGGGCATCTGTGCTTTCAGTTATTAGGGGCCTGTTCCCTTGATGAAGTACAGGAACAGCAAGGCTAGCATTCGTCTGGTCTGCAACTCCGCACACATATGCTGCTAGTTCACTACATTTAAATCTGTGCCCCAGCAATCTTTGCTGGGTACATGTAACAGGGGCAGCATCTTCCAAAAGGTATTCTTGATGCTGACAAAATTGCCTCATTAATTTGTTTGAATGTTAGTTTGTCTGAATATTGGAGTTCAGACAAATCCTTTTTTTTCTAAATTTGAGATTCTTTACATGAGTCTTTATTATACTATTTTTTGAAAGTGCCAATCATTGGTTCGAATTATAACTAATGGGAATTTGAAGATTTTGATGAACAAACATGTAAGTTAGTATGTTTCATTGCGTGAGGTTTGAAATGAGTCTGGAGCAGTATTTACTGATCAAACAGATTGAAAATCTTGATGTTAGCGTACATGTATACTGAGCAAAACCTCAGGTATCCTGCTGAAGCTGTTGGGTAAGTGCTGACCTTCATGGCTCGACCCTTGACCCTTTCTAAATTCAATCCTGGCCTTCCTGGAGCCAGTAAGTGGGTGAATCTGAACATGATCCGTCCATTCAAATGTGGCGGTTCACTGGTGTGTACACACAATGCTGCATATGGCCCATTTGGTACTCGGAAGTTCAAAACTAGAGACCTGCAGGTACATGTAGGGCCTACATGTAGGCCTACGTACATGTACAAGTACTGTGCTGGCCACATTCATGACCAAACCCTGCATGACTTGTTTTCTTTTACACGAAGAGGAGAAAACCTCCTCCGGACAATTTTCTACAATTGTAAATAAGAAATTACTGCATTTTTAAAATAACATAAAATAAGGCACATTTTACTTGTACTGGTATAAATACTGGTACAAGCAGGTTTTGCAAAAACAAGAGGGGGGAGGGCAAGCTACACATGAAATGTATGGAAATTTTTTAGCCAACTCAAGTCACTTTTATGCTTTGGTATGGTACATGTATGTTGGTCAGCACTAATTTTATATTTATTTTTGTGTGTGTGTAATTTATCACAAGTCTTACATGCCATGCCACTGATAACTGAATGCCATGCGAGTACATGTACTGACTTAAGCGCAAGGGAGCTGAGTTTTTGAGAGATGTTTAAGCCCCAATGCAACAAGCAATCATATCAAAAGACGACTGACTCAACTACAGATGGGCTTACCAAAAAAAAAAAAAAAATGAAGCATTTATAATGCATACATTCCCGGCTGGCCCTAATTGGCTTTTGTCCCCTGAGAGAGACTGAGGGGGCCAGCTTTCCCTCAAGTTATCCCTTTGTTGTTTCAAGGTCCCCCCTCTCTGGGCTGGCTGGCCTTCTACTGGGCTATATGGGCACCAGGAGATCCAAGGGACAGAGCTCCATTGTGGGCAGGCACTCCAATCTGAGCACACACACACACACACTCCTGCTCCTACTACATGGACTGTACAACGGCTGACAGGACTGATTATGTAGTGCACAGATGGTAGAAATCGCAACATGGGAATTCAGGTTTCTTGGCTCAAAGAGATTGGCTTTAACTGACTGGGTCAGGAAGGTCGGTCGGAACCATCTCTGCTATGTGCCCTCGGTAATTGTAAAAGCAACCCACCAGTACATCTCAGCACCAAACTCCACAGCACTAAAAGCTGCAGTTCAGGCACTTCACGGAGATGTACATGTACATGAGCAAAAATACATTTTTCACATGTATTCCGTACATGTCCAAAGATCTTGTCAATTTGCAGGTACGGATCCAGTTTCCAAGGGAGTAAATACTGCCCAGCACTGATGACTTGGCCTTGGTGGAAGCAACTGCAAGAATGGATCCCACCGGAGAAGGGAAAAATCTCTCAGAAATTAACTCCACAAAACCTAACTGAGAACCACTAGGGCAGACAATGCAATTACACAGCAGTGGATTTACTGCCTGCAATTTACAAACCTCATACAGTCCTGTACTGGGCCAAGCAGTGGGCTTTTCAGAGCGGCTGAACTAAACGGACTCCCATTTACTATCTCATTTAACCAGGGGGCCATTTCAAGGTAGTTGGGAGAAACTTTATGGGCAAGCAGTTTTATGGCCTTGCTTTATTATCCACTGATCTTTGGTGAGCTTTATTTGTCTGTGGCCTTTCTACTAAATGACCTTTTTTTACATCCTTGTTGGAGCCAATGTGGTTAGGTAGGGCCAGTTTATGACCATCTGAAGACATTACATGAAATGGCCCTTTTATGAATGCAAAGACTTCACTCTTCTACCAGAAGGCAGTAAGGAAAGGAATTTAACTGTAGCAAGTACCAGGTAAGCTGTTTTTCCAGATGGCTGTCCTTTTTTGTTATATTTTCCATCATGCACAAGGAATTGCACCAACATGACACCACAAACCACAACATGTGGGCATCGTAAATACATCAGTGAAATAAAGTATGGTGTATGGTGCACATGTACATCACACACATAAATTAGCATTAAATTTTCACAAAATCCAATATTATACAAACTTATTGGTAAGCAGAGTGAAAGCTTATCATTCCCAAATCAAAGGCCTGTAAGTAACCTGTCTTGAAGAGTTTCAAAGTTTCACACAAGCTGTCCAGTACAGCAGTTATTCCGAATGAGGTTTTGACACGAGATTGCTGCAGTTCATTTTGAACACAGGCCAATAAAGCTAAATACCAAGTGTCCGGATGCATGATTTTCAGATTTCTTAATTTCTCCCTCCAAGCTCTGACATTTCAATCAACTGACTCCGGATGTCCCCATGGACTTGTTTCAAGATGTGACTGGGACATGTTTACCCTACAAGTGCCTCTCCCATGTACTTGTGCCAATTTACGGTCTTAAACTGCCCCATCCCAGGGGAAGCCCCTGTGCACCAGCTTTTTTCAGATTTTTAAGGCAGGGCAGCAGCAAGTTGGGAGAAAACTTTTGAATGATTTATATTAAAAACCCTCCTGGTGCAATTCCCTGTTTCTATGGAGACAATGTCAGGCATACAAAAAGCACTTTGTTCTTATGAAAGTGGCAAATCTTCCTGGTCTTTGTTCAGCATGTTCAGGTTTGTAGTACACTTCGATCCAGTCCCTCAAGCCAAAGTCACCAAACCATGCAAAAGTAACCTGCGTGTACGCTAAGCTATGACTCTCCAATCACGACAAATTAAGATCCATTCCATCTAAGACCAATGTTAAATGTAAATTCCCACCTTCAGTCTACAGTAGGCTTTGATGTACATGTAGTCCCTCAAGTCTAAGTCACCAAACCACACAAAAGTCACCTGGGTGTACGCCAAACTATAGATGACTCTCTAATGACAACAATCTACATGTAACATCCATTGTTGACAGGAACACGTGTTCTAATCCCTGTACAGACAGAGCACCACAACACACGCATCCTGACATGCACAATGTTGACCACCTCCAACGGGCCGTCTTTTCAGGGCAAATTATCAAGGAACAGTGAACAACACTTCAACTAGATCACAATCACTCAAACTGAATCAAGTGTGTAGTTCCAATGAACAGTGAATTTGGAAGGCTCAGTTGCAGGAAAAATTGTTACGTACATAAATGATGACAAATGAAAGTAACAGAATCAGACACACGTAAGCTGATTCACGACGAGATGATTCCACCTGCCAATTAATATTGCCAATACCATTATGAGGTGACACCGGGAATTTATAGACATTAACCCTAATGTAACCTGAGCCTTTTTGCTCGAGAACAATATGGCAAAATTAGTAATGTACCGGAATAACACACGCTCACGTCCCTTTATGTTTATTAGCAACAGTAAGAGTTGAAAGGACAAGAGGAAAGCTCATGAAGCTATGGTAGTCATGAATGTGTACGAGTTGGAACGGTAAAGCTAAACATCAGCCTGTTTAGCTTCACTTCAATGCCTGAACATCAAAACGTACAATGCAATTGATTCTGTGAGTCACTGTCCGTCTCCCTTCCTGTGAGCCAGTTCACATCAACTGCCTTCGCTGCACAGGCTGGGACAGTGTAAGATAAGACGACAAAATGCCTCACTGCGCAAATCGTACAGGGCATCCATCTTTCCCTGGGTGCGAAGGACATGACCGTAGCATACATATGTACTGGTCCGGTGCATGTACATGTGCAGTGCCGGCTACATGAGCTTTATCTGTCCACCATTGCTGCCAAGTACACTCAATTGTTTGTGTGGTTGCAATTTTGTAAATTTAACACTAACGGGTGCTTTAAACCCAAGATGGTGGTCACAGAATGTACACTCAGTCGCACATTGGCCAGATGTTTATGATGACCACATGTATGCACATTTATGTTTGCATGGAAATACAACATGAACTGAAAAAAAAATGACAATAAAAATTAAAAAAAAGGAAAGATTTCAGAGTCCAATAGTTCAAGTGTGTGTGTGAGGTCGCCAGGCAGTGCCCCCCCATAGGTACCTTACACGGATAATCGAGTAAAGCAAACAATGCCAGAGATATCTCGCTGATGTTTGGCTACTTGTAGGTTATCATGAAACAAAGGTTACTAGCTACAGAATTCTATCCTGCAGGACATGTTGTCACTGAACAGTAACTCCAATGGCTATATATACTGAAGGGAACTGGGAAGTGGATTTATTGGCCATATTTATTATGATAATGCAGATATGCTCTCCATTCTGATCTGAAGGAGGGGTGCTTTTTTGTGCAATTTGTCCTATATGAGCCATCAGTGGCCACTCAAGGGAATGGCTACAGGAAAGAGAAATACAAAGAAACCGTGGATGAGAGAAAAAGGGAAGGCATCTCATGCTCAAAATGAAAGATGCTTTAACCCTAACCCCCCTCAATCCTTCACCTGCTGGAGGACTGAGGAGTGTTAGGGTTAATCCAATGCTTAGTCGAACTGGGATATGTTGTAGCATCTGCAATACAGGACGCAGATATGGAATTCAAGAGCACTGTGCTAAAACTCCTCTTAGATTTAAAAAAACATTAGCAAACAAATCTCTTGGCACTTTCTTCTGGAAACTGATGTGCTTAAAACAATTTTGCGGATTTCTAATTTTAGTCAAACTGGTTGGTAAGAAGCAGCTAAAAATCTGATCCAGGACTCAAGTCACCATTTGTTGTGCTACATGTAAGCATGTGTCCAAAATTTTGAGTTGAGTTAACAGGCCGGCGTCCAAGTTGCTGACAGCGTATCGCACAAAATATCCACAACCCATTGCAGGCTGAAACCTCACGTGGAGATACAGCGTACATAGCTGATGTCCCTTTAAAGACTCAATTAAATAATCTCACTCTTTATGCCGAAACGTAGGATGCCAAAAATGTACAGAAACCAGATATAAATGTTATGCACACACACCCATAAAATTTGCAATGTGTGTGGAATACCCCAACTCACATTGTGCTCACTCCAAAAGGTAGGCTCCATACTGAACTTGGCTGAACTCTGAGATATAAATTGTTCAAGTACGTGTAAACATCCTTGTAAACACACATACACCTCCTAAGTCAATGGAATAAACACAGGCAATACTGGAGCAGGCCTGGTGTTTGTTTTTCACTTAATTTATCACCGAAAGGGCAATTTCCTTCTTTTCATAATCCTGGTGAATTATCTCAAAGAAGGTTTGGGTCCAGACAGTTGAACCAGAAAGTGGACATCTGCATCTTGAAATATTAAGTCGGGTGTGTGTTCAGTACGGTAAATAAAAAATACTTCTGGTCTGTCTTCAAATCAGAGGTACTGTACATGCATCACGAGTGTAACTGGCAGAGAAATCTGAGACAGAGACGACTTGACCATTTAGTGGATGGAGCCCATGTGAGCCACCATTCACAGATGCTAGATGCTGACACCAGATACTGGTAGCTTCCAGAATTAAGAGATGAGAATGTGATGGATCCCGAGGCTTAGCAGATGATGTTGAATACCAGGGCATGGTGCAAAGACACCAATCATTCCACCAGTGCATGCTTTACATCAGATCTGCTGTTCAGGAAAGATGACAGCAACTGGAGGTTGGGGGATACCTTGAAAATGTCTCTAAACTGTTTTATACAGCCAAGCCACAAGCAATCCGATTACTTAGAAAAAAAAGAAATACCTACCCTTCTTGCGTCTTGCTAGCTGCATGGCGATGAAATGATGTCTTCATGAGCATCTCCATGGTGAGGGGTACCTGTCCCTGACTAATGGCTGCGGCATCTCCGCTCGGGATGTCCGTAAGTTCCGCATCCTCTGGCAACGTTGGCAGGTACCCTGTAACCCTGGAGTTGCCCCCACTGGAGCTGCACTCGCTGCTCTTGGGGCTGATTCCGCCATTGTTTATGTATTGCACGTATAAGTCGGACTTGAGGAACATCGGGTAGGTGGACTCCCGGATGTGCTCCTCCACCTCTGCCTGAGCTGCATCAAACAAGGTCTCATCAAACACGGAGCTCCGCACCATGCCCGCGATGTTAGTTCTCAGCGCTGGGGAAAGCTTCACTACCTGTTGTCCATCTGCTTTCACAAACTTCTTGTAGATAACTTTGGCCAGTTCGTTCCGCTTGGGGTCATCGGCCGATTTTTTCTTGAAGCCCTCGGTGGCCAACCAAAACAGGAGTGGGTCCTCTGCCTTTTCCTGCACAAGGAACTGCTTGAAGAGGCATATTCCGTCCTCGTCGGAGAGCAAAGCATGAAGGCTCTCCGTCCAGCGCGTGTAGGGAGGGGTGACTGATGCCGACCCCTCGGGTTCAAAGCCCAACGGGGCCTCGTCCTCCTCCATGTCTCCCGTCAGTCCGGTCTTCACGTGTGCCAAGAGCGTGGACCTGCGCGGTGTGGCTGAGGGGGAGCGTTCTTTGGCGATGGCGCACGTCGGTGCCGTCTCATTTTCCTCGCCAGGCACGGGCGGCCGTTGACTGGTTGGCAGGTTCTCAGTAAAGTTTCCACCACAATCTGCCATGTAGTGGTGCACTTGAAGTGTCATGGCGCCAGGGATTGCGCAGAAGGTTTTGGCCTACTGCCAGTCGACTGCATGGGTTGTCAACAAATGTTAAACTTTCCAGCGACACACCAGTATTTCCTAAAAGCACACATAAATCTCAGCAGGTACACCAACACAACAACTGTGCCTGCACAACCTTCATTCAGCCCCCCAATACAGGGGTACGTTCCCCCAGTGTTGTCCAACTTGGTCAATAGATGGCCAGCCAACTATGCACAATGTCTATTGAGACAGCCCACTCACTGAATAGACCTGCAACAACAGAAGAGACAAAGAATTATGTTAATGAATAATCCTATATGCAAATGGTAATGGAGCTAGCTTTAGTGTACCCAAAGTGCAACTGCCAGGGATGAATAGGGGCTTATTATGTAACACTCTGGAATTTAGGCACACTGTACACATCACACTCATGTCCTGGCTGCATTGCATAAAAGAATTCAAGCAGGTCCCATGTTGAAAAAGGGGTCCTTTCCTGAGCACTTTTGGAGCTAGTTGATGAAGCCCTGCAAAGAATGAATTTATCAACATACAAAATTTCCCGAAAAGCTCAAATTTGTTCACACTATGCAACAAATAATTGACAGACTAACTTTAAGTCACACCACTCAAACTCAGCTTTAATCTTAGTACAGGCAGCCTTCTCACTAACGCTTCCTACTGTAATCTTGTTAAGTACGTATAGTCCGCACATCCTGGAATACCTCTCACAAGAACTCACACACCATTAAAGGAACCTAAACAAATGGGTCAAAAGCACAAGAATGGAGCGTGACTGTTCTTGCAGTGAAGACAGTTTCCCCCAAAATGACATCCTTGAGGCTTGACAGAAACATGCTCAGATTGTCTCCAACCAAAATACCTATCTCACTTGTACCAGTACAAGTTCACTGATAATTACCACTGTCATATTTTCCACTTCGGTTTGGCTGCAGCTTAGCAGTGCGTGCTAGAGCTCACTCGGGCAGCACAAATGCAATGACTGAGGTTGCAGCAAAGCTCCTAGGGCAGATACCGGACAGACAAATTGACTGATGAGTGTGAAATGAGCCCCACTTCGCCTCTCATGCCCACACCTCAACACCTCCAAACTGTTGAGGAAATATCCACCTTGAAAAGGCACCTCACATGTATAATGAGCCCTAACAATCTGTAATCTGCATGTACATCTACGTCTTATTGCTATCTGCTCCTCAAACCAAAAGATCAACACTACAGTACATGCATGTTAGTGCATTTATCAACAATTAGGGGTGAACTGTTGTGGTAAACAGATGACAGTTCTGACGGCAAAATTAAGACCACTGTATCACTAAATAAACGCAGTATCACAAGGATTGCAGACCAGTAAATAAACTGTCATGCAACAGTGATAAGTAACCCCCACAATTTCAGAAATCAATAATATAGGTTTTCTCCAGTGTTTCATACCCCTCAAATTAAAGTTCAGTTTCTGATCTTTCATTTGCTCATCAAATTTTCGTGGGTTACATGTACATCAGTGACTTTTCACGACATTTATATCCAAAGACGATCATTCCTATAAGCCGTCACGAGGCCCATTACAAGTTTGGACATAGATGACTTCACTCCGATGCAAGATAGACTTACATGGATGGCCCAATTCCCCTCCCCCCCAAATACAACTTTCCGGTCTTTACAGCCTTCATTTGAAACAAATGCCTCTCTTGCTGTTGTTATTTTTAACCTGATAATGCTTGCATGTTGCTGCCCCACCATGGTTGCATGCTGAATCAGAAGTGGGAAACAAATGAAGAAAACAAAAATCTACCCAAGTACCCAGTTTCAGATACTATGTAAATGTAATCAGAGGCTGAATTATATTCATTTGTTTGCCTTATTCCAAACAAGTGAAAGGTCTTAAGTTGAACTCTCAGAAACTTGTACATGTATTACTTTTCTACACAATAGGGTACAATCTGTCTGTTCTACAATAAAACAGCAGAAATTTGATATGAAAAAATGCAATCAAGAGGGCTTCTTTTGCAATTTTTACATTGAACTGAGGAAAAATAAAGCACACAAAAAGAGATCATTAACTCTGAACTAAGGTATCTAGTGTGTCTGGAGGAGCATTATTTCCTCCAGTAAGCCCAGACTAATCCACTGGAGTAGGGTGTACTATGTCTATTTTTGTCCGAGAGCCAAGGTCATGAAGGTGCAGTAGTGCAGAGTGGTCCAGTATCAATATCATTCAGCCTTTGTGGTGCCTTCACTAAGCTGGTCCGCCTGCCTATCCGTGATTATGGAACGTTATGTTCGAAGGGTTTACCTCATGGCCTGGCTTAAAAACATGTTGGGTGTCAATTCATACAATGTAGTAAGTGGCTTCATCTGCCAATGTCTGCTCTGCTGAAATTTGTTGTTTTTAAATTCAAATTCACATAGGGGCCCTATTTTCGCAGTTGGAATGACATCACTGATTCTTGATTCTTCTCTCTGATTGGTCAATTGGTGGCTATTCCATATTTCACACTCGAAACTCAAAGGGACAAACAGTGTTGCTGTCTACGGGGAAAATCTGAATTGACTTAACTCTTATCCTTTACATCAAATGTGCCTGAAATTTCACTACTTACGCGCTATGAATATCTCCAACACTGCACCGAAAAGGTTTCAAGTATACATGTATTTATCATGTTGCAGCAAAGAGGAAAACATGCAAATCCCTGTACAAAGTAAATGGAGAGTTGCCCCTTTGCCCAGACGGGAGTGCAATAAATGGAACAACCTCCAACCGCGAGAATCTGGCCCTCAACTACATGTACCTCTGCTTAAACTGGAAAACTAATCTGGAAGTTTAATCTATTTTGCCATAGATACCCCCCATGGAAGAAAGGTACAGACCATGATGCACATAGATCTATGTTGAACCCTGGTTTGTAGGGTGCACTACATGTAAATTTTCTGTGGGAGCACTCCTGTAATTGGAATATATGTCTCATGTGATGTTCCATCAAAGAAAGTTGAAGATGATACTTTCCCACGTAAAGTACACACGGTGAGACCAGTCCAAAATAACACAGACCAGTAGGTAGTGACTTGACCATGTTGACTGAAAACTGAATGGGATTAAGATTATGACTGCATGTAACTTACGTACATGTAACTAGGCCTACCACAATTGCTACAAGCCTTCATGTTCACGTTCTCTGTCTGATGACATGTCACTGTTCATTTTCAGGGAGGTCATCACATCAAGACCAGATCTTCACCATCACATCATGGACATTTCAGTTTCCACATGAGCTAAGCACAATCATAATCACGGCAACACGACCACCCCTGACGACAACTGTAAAACTTAACTGTACGGATTCACACATATCCACGCATACTCACCCACATAACACATAACATGATATATCATTCACTAAGTAACCGGCGGCGTGTATGTCATGCATGTGCTGAGACTTGCTCGTGTTCATAATATCGAAACCGTCGAGTTCGAGGTGTCCCGTCATTTTGTATCAACTCCGCAACGCGTCCAAAATTATCTCCAACTCTACAGCTAATCTCTCCTTGCTGTAGCCATGGACTGCCAATCTACAACATGGCTATCAACAAGCGCTTTATGCCCGATAACCGCCATGAATGAGAGAATTCCCTGATCATGCGTGGCCGTTGTACGCGGCGAGCCCAAGTGCTCACAGCAAGCACGCATGCCGGCTGCAGTGTTATCCCCACACTACCACTAGCACAGTCAACAAAGCGTTCTTTCACTCACCCCAAAATGCTGATCAGCCATCAACCAGTGCGTTTATCATCCAAGAGTTTGCCAAGACAACTCGTGAGCAGTCTGAGCAAGTGTTTGGAGCAAGGAATACCGCTCAAATAAGGCCCAGAAAGCGCAGTCACAGGGGCTGATCTAACCTCCACTTTCGGGGTAGCGTCTTCGAATGCGAGAAGTTTTTTTCCTGTGTGTTTCAAAGTGCAACACATCAAAGCACATGCCCGCCGCCCGATGGCTCCCAAAGGGCAGTGACGTTTCCTCAAAGGAAAAGCCGCGCCAATCAGAACAGAGCGGACTGTAGGCCGACGGATATGCTCATTCGTGAAATAGGGGGTTATTGTATTGTCTCGAACCTGCTTTTTCGAAGCCCGGAGACGCCGAAGTAACTGGACTTGGTATTGGTACAAATCTTCATATATTCCTAACTTTGCTGTTTATAAGATTTTACATTCATTCTACATTCAGACATTAAAACCAAAACACGGGAAATAATCGATTGTCCTTGGTTCAAAATGGCGGGAATCAAACAGTCCACTCCTATTTCTATGAATAGAGGATTCTATTCCCTGAGGGTATTCGGCATTCTAGCGCCAGGCACACAGAGAGAAAGGACCGCTCGGAAGTCCAGCGGGTCAACGTTGCGTGAAAGGCAAAGCTCGGTGGTAAAAGAGAAGAAAAAAGACCGCTTCAAAATGATTCACTGCATCACTCATGTACTTACTCTTCGTGTAGTGAGAAGGGCAAATTGATGAATTGTTCCATTGCAAAACAAACGGGCTCCAATTCAAGGATTCTCCTTGGTGCAGCCTTGTTAATGGGTGTCCCGAAATCCTGAACGTCCAACATTGGACTCTCAGTCTACTCTGCACGTGATCCACTGGCGGTCTACATGCACATGGACCGAATCCATACATGTACATTGTACATGTATAGACGAAATAAATAGCCCCTGCCGCTTCCATTCAAATCACCCAACGAATTAATTTGCCGTTGACCGTGCCAGGTCGGGGTCCGGTCAACGACGGGCCTCCTCGCAAGCCAAGTCGGCGCCTGTTTAAATGAGCCAAATTGCCTCGTAGGGTTGCATTTTTTCTGAAGTCTTTTGAAGCCGCTGGGTCTGTAGGCAACACCAGAGTCGATAAACTATATTTTGAGCATCGACAGGCCAGTTAAAAAAAAACGAAGAATCGGGTAAACATGCCTGTAAAAGTTTGTTAATGGTTTCTATAGTAGAACTACCTTTTTCATAACCTTTTTTTTCGGTACGAAGTCAGAAGTATAGCGTACAGACATTATCTTTGCCCGAATAGGCCATCATCGTCGTTTTAAGGTTATACAACCATGTCGTGAAAACACGAGACTGTTGGCAAGAATTTACTACCAACGTTTATGTGTTATGGTAGCAAGGTATGCCTTCATTAAAAAAAAAAGATCAAGCTGTAAAATATATGGCCAAGAACAACGATGTTCGTTTTGCCATCGAGAACTACATGAATGATCAGTGACGGAGAAGGTGTATATCTTTTCACTGGACCGTGCAGGAAGGAATGGCGTTTATTTGAACAGTGTGCTCTGGTCGATGGTCGTTGCTATGCCAAACCTCCCCAAGAAAGTTATGGCTTTTAAGGTCTTGTGTGAGAAGCCTTGTGAGACAAGGAAAAGAGGAGCAAATTCTGAACAGTTCGCCAGTAAACTGTAGACAAAAACATCAGCCAATAATAATTGTTTCTTTGAATGGAAATATAGACTTCTTAATGTACAGTACACACCTGCTGAGCGGCAGTATCACAAACGCATAACAACGAATAAGGCTGATGTACATGTAGGCCTGTGTGCCCACGCAGTGTAATTCTGCCAGAAGAGATTCTTGGTGAAGAATCCCTTGTGGTATCACGATTAACGCGGTTCTGATGGGCCTGATCATACCCGTGTGCTGCTGATGGCACCCGCGCTCGGGCAACTGAAAGGGGACTGCTGGCTCCTTCGCGCTGCTGGAAAGCGCACGGCCCTCCTGTCGCATAATAATGCATTGTGACCGCCATTCCCTCGTAGGCGGACGGACGACCCACGTTAATCATTTATCACGGCTAATAAAAACAGCCCGCGCCGTGTGATGTTGCCGCCGACAAACGGGCCCGCTTTGCCGCGCCGGTTTTTATCTCTTGCCAGCATATCGGCCATAAAAACAGAGAGGACAAGCGGAGGAAAGCCGCGGCAGTTCATGGCCCGTGAGACCTAACAAAAGACCCCGAGAACGATTTTTTAAAGGAATGAATAAACACAGTGGACTGGATGATCAGGATTAGAGGGGTAGCTGTTCGAACGCCAACAATACGCCTTTGGCTAAACCATCAATTGTGTGGAGGATTTTTACCACGTCACTTTTTTATATTTTTTATTGGGTTTTCACCACTACAGTCTGGGAATAAAAATGGACCGCTTAGGAAAATGAGCAATTATGATCGCCGGAGATTAAGTCGACAGTTTCAGTCACCTATGGAGTCTTCCTTTGTCGGTAGTCGTCGGCAACTTCAAAAGATTTCGCTAGTGCAAAAAATGACAACTGTTCGCGTGCTTACCACCAATTGGAATTATTTGATTGGAATTTTGCCAGTCGGGAATTTATGCGTTGAGACATTCGATTTCAGTCTATCTTTTTATATTTTTGTGCATCGTCAGATCCGCGCGGGGATGCAATTTGATTGCCTGTACTTTATTTGTCTAAGTTTTGATATTTTGATGACCGCTTTTAGTAACACTCGACTTGCATTTTATATTTGGAACAAAAATTATATACATCGCGGGAATGTTAACGAATTTTTGAAACAACAAAGCGAGATATTGAAAGGGTGGAACACGTCTTATCAAGAAAAAAAACTGATTTCTCTTCGATCAGTTAACATTAAATGAGCAACGTAAATCATGAACCTGAAATACTGGCGATTATTAAAGCAGGAAAATGAAGAAAATGATTATAACATTTACCTTTACGCTTGTTCCTGGTTTACTGAGATTCAGTCGTGTTGAAAACGAGTCGGCTGTCGGTTTCATGCACATAAAACAAAAGACCGCGCAGGTGCACAGATAAAGGAATATGATATCTATGTGGCGATATGTAATGCGATGGTATGTACCGTGCCCCAAGTAAATTTTGAAGAAAAAAAAGATATACATGTATTTACTTATTTGACATACCTCTGAAATGTGAACACGGTGTCGCTATTCCCGGCCAAGGCATCCCCTGCAGGAGAGAGATGATACTTTTAACAGTGAGGCGAACTGCAGTGGGAAGGAATCCTCCAGGATTCATCGCTTCAGGCTAAGACCAAGGCTGGACGACCGCCGGCAGCCTGGACTGAAAGTATGGCATAATTCAAAGTCTTTCCAGACCATTTGGTTCTTCCAGTAAAAAAGAAATCGAAATTCGAAATTAATGATCCTGCTTTGCTTCTGATGACCAACTCGGAAATAAATCACCGATATTTCACTACATGCGTCGTGGACTCCAACAGGGGGATTCCTTGGTGTACCTTCTAGTTTTTGTTACGAAATGGAGGAGGGATGATTTCTCCATAGCCTAGCTAGACGCAAGATTTCGATCCTCTGCTTGAAACGCGATGTTAACAACTACAGAGGAGCGATCATGATGAGGTTTCAAACATACACATCTGGCATTTCTTCAACACTGCAAAAATACGCAGGTGACCAACACATAAAAGGAAGCTCTACCAAGGATCCGTTGTTCTCAATTAACCCGATTTTCTTCTCTGGGCCCCAGGTTGTTCCATAAACACCCAGGAAATAGCCCTGTTATCTTCCAATAGCGTGTGCCATGAAAAATTAATGATCAAAGTGAAATGCATCTTAATGTTAATTCTAAAAGGGCAGGGTACGGTCTGTCCTCACTCATTTTACTGATGTCTTCGCTATGCATGTTGTTCCCAGCGCCAGGAGCGTTCGTGTGTTTTCTGCTAATGAAAACCAGAAATGCTATTCTCGTGAGAGGTTCCAGTTTTTGAAGAACTTGAGAGGTGAGAGAAAATGTGGGCAGGCGTGGCATACATAGTGTGGACCTCTGCACAAAAGAAGTCCACATAATGAAGGTTCAGCCTATGGTGCTTACAAGCAGAGATCGGGAGGGCTCGTAATGCGTGACACCTTTTGTAATGACAGAATATCTTTACTCTCCAGGAATCAAATAAAAACAGACCCAACAGGTTTGACGCGAGACAGGCAGGACTGGTTAGGAAGATTAAGTGTGGAGGTTATTAACTTTCAGAATCGATTGGTGAAAATTTCTCCTTACGTTGTTCTCAAATTTAGGTTAGATATTAGGTTTTTTAGTGTTCAGCTGTTGATTATTTTTATCTTTTGGAGCAGGAAACACTGGAAAACACTTTAGGTTATGGACAAGCCTTTAGGACCTTTTCACTGCGAAAACTAAAGTTATTGCCCATTCATGATCTACACAAACTGCCCTAAGCCGGTTTTAATGTTAGTTGATGAGCTCGAAGGGGGCGGGGGATATATAGATGGCGCTGTTCGTCATTGCACCCACTCACTCACTGACCTTGGTTTGCCCCGCGAGTCGCCAGCGATTGTGTCTTTTCTATCCCACATTATGTGCCCAGCTCAAGAAGGAGGGGGGCCATGCCTCCTCCTCCGAAAGAAGGAGTTATTTCTTGAAGAATAATGCGAGAGAGGCGATTTCTGGTCTATTATATGTCTCTTCTGTCTAAAGTATGCAAAAAGCCCCTTTAATTTAACCCAACCCCAAGAGAAGTCTGAAAGCTACTTGAAAAAATTCTAATTTTTGGTTCCCCAAACAAGCCCCCCCCCCACCCCTCCGAAAATTTGACCGGGTACACTACACCAGTCTGTTCCTTAATTTGTGTGTATTTCACAATTGACATATATATGCCTGTTTGAAAAATCAAAACTTCTTGAAGACACTGTAAAAAACCCAAAGATTGGTAACTAAGATATCCTGGGCTGGATTCGAACCACTTCGGTTTAGAGCGCAATCTTCAAAGCTATGTGGTCACTGAGCTAAGTAAACTGAAGCGTTGAGTCGACCATTGGTAAGGATATTTTAAAAAATTAAGAAAGCCATCTGTTGCCAAGAAGTATACTTGTATATTTTCCAACAGTGAAGTACATGTATATCTTGCTAAGTTCGTCTTTATAATATGTTCTTTTCGAAGTTCGTTTCATGAATTTTTTTTTCAACTTCGTTTTAACGAGATATTGTTCCGTTTTCGTTTTGTAGATTTCGTTTGTAGGAGGTACATATTCTCCAGTTTGTTCTTATGAGATCTATTTTTAGAAACATTGTTTCGATTTTCGGCAAAAACCGCTTTTACGAAATGAGTTCAATCAACATTGTTTTCTTACGTTATATTTGTCCAAATGGATTTTCAAGAAATATACAATTTCAAGTTTTGCTATATGTATCATGTAGACAACCTTCAACTTCACAAATATAACTCATAAAGGCGAACTTTATAACAGGTTTCATAAAAATGAACTTGGAAAAAATACAACTCGTACTTTGTTTCCAAAAATAGACATAATCTTTCTTTCTGGTAGTTTCAATTTAAAGTCTTTCCTGACGCTACTTGTGTTTGTTGACGCTTGCTAAATAGCATGACCGTTCCCACAGCCTACCTATGGAATTTTACCAAGCTCCAACAAGCGTCAACAAACACAAGTTGCGTCAACAAAGTTCAACCACCTGAAAATACCCTCTACAGATTTAAAAGTGGTTTTATCATATTTTAGAGACTCGAACACTTGCCATTGTATAAAAGAAACACTGAATTCGCTTTCTGATTCTCGCAAGAAAAAGAAAATTTTTGGCGATGCATGGGCCGCCATTTGCCTTTTTTAGCAGACTGTTTTGAAAGTTATTGATTGAGAGCGAATAATGAGCTGACGGAAAAAGTCCCAAGAGGGCGCTAATCAATTCAATAAGTCTAGCTAACTGGCGCGGCCAGGAATCGAGGTTGATTGCGCATTGCGCAAGCGATAAAAAGAAATACAAAATGGCAGCTTCCAGCAGCTCGAGTCGTGCGACTGCGACATGTGCGAGTGAAAAGAGTGAAAAGAAGGTGGACGTGGAAGACATGGAAGACCGCAGCGAAACAGCAGAAGGGGGCTCCTTTGCGTCATTAGTAAGGGAATCTTTAGTAATGAGCATACTTTTGTCAGTTGTCCTTTTTAACTGGAGGCCTAGTTGTAAAGACCTAGCCCCACAAATACCAGAGAATATTAGCCCCATGTGGCACGGACTCTCACTCCCGCTCTATCCATAGCCACAAATCCTATACGCAATTTCGTGTCGGCGCACTGAACATTTTCGGCGCACCCACTTATCATCGTAGGCGCAATTTCTTTGCCACACAGAGATGATCCTTAGCCTCTCTACTTAGCGCCATTTATTGAATGATTTCACTCACGTTCTGGTATTTTCCAGTCTTTTTAACTTCACCCATTCAATCTCACGGGCTCGCTCTCACACTCACAGTCGCCGTCTTTAAAATAAGGCCATTGCCCATTAGGTCACTTGACCCCTCATCGTCTCGACGGCTGTTCCATGTCAAGACATATCTAATACACGGACTGAGCGATAAGATACTACTTGTACCAATGGGCTCTTCCAAAACTGGGGCAGCAGATTAGATGTCTCGACATGGAACAGCCGTCGAGACAATGAGGGGTCAAGTGACGTAATGTTCAACGACCTCATTTTAAAGATGGCAATTGCGAGAGCGAGCCCGTGAGATTAAATGGGTGAAGGCAAAAAGACTGGAAAATATCAGAACGTGAGTGAAATCATTCAATAAATGGCACTAAGAAAGTGGAGAGGCTTAGGATCATCTCTGTGTGTGTGCAAAAGAAATTGCACCCATGATGATAAGTGGGTGCGCCGAAAATGTTAAATACGCCAACGCAAAATTGCATATACGGATGTGTGGCTAAGGATGGATCGGGAGTGAGAATCCGTGCCACACTAGTGGGGCTACACAAATACATGAAATAGGGCTGTAGTGGCTCTCTTTTACAATCTGTCTCTTATCTAGCGCCACAGGGAGCCTTATGGTGTAGCCACCACCTGCATTTTAGCCTACGTTGAATTGTGAACATGGTAAATCTTAACAGCCATGTATTGTTTTGTTTTCAGCTTATAACAAGATACTTTGATAAGTCTACTTCCATTTTGACATGGTTTATTCTTCCTTGACATTAAGATGTCTTTCTGATAATAAATTTAAATTGTCATGCTTACGTGTATAATGTAGGTGGTGGCATTGACTTTCGGCATGTTAAGGCTGTATGCCCAGTGTGTGAGTTCACCATTACTTTAAAACTTAATGTGCTTGTTATTTTGGAAAATCAATACAATAGCGTAGTTGACAACAGCACACTTTTTAGTAGGTGCTAACGCTTTGATACCCCTCCAGAAAAATAGAGGGGAGGGGTATAATTATTACAAAAGCCAAATGACAAGTCACATGCATTGCTATTGGTGGAGCTCATTTTCGTTCATAAAACCCTGGACAAATAAATGCACCCTGTGCAGTCTCGGCAATGCAAACAGGTGAAAATCTTGGTTATTTGCATTTCACATGGGACAAAATCATATTTTGAGGGAGGGGGGACAAGTAACAAATAAATTTCACAAAGGGAACCACAGTTCTTCTAGGAAATATGTTTGGCGAAAGCCTAGTTAAGTACGCCGTGGTCTTGGACACGCATGTACAGATACACTTAAAACATGGTCTACGTCATAATTTGTCATAAAACATCCGCGCATTATAATTTTGCGCCAGCTGCCCTAACTTCACCAGGCATCAGAGTTTCACCTATCGCAAAGTTGCCACAACAAATGACATCATTTTAAATAAGATTACACTTGGAAAACCCTATCTACCGCCTCTTCTGAAGGATCTATGGGCATAGCAGAGTAAACCTGAGGAAGAAGTTGCTATGCCACTGTTTCAGGATGTAGGTGGGACCAAACTTTGAATGACATGCGGTGCGCTGCTTCATGCCGTCGCCTGAACGGTGGAAACAGCTCATTTGCATATGCATGATTGGTTGAGGTGGGAAAACGCTATGCAAAGCCTGAGGTCAGAATAACTTGCTGTAATGCATCAGTTGGCAGACTATCGATCATAAAATCTTTGACCCTTAAAGAACAACAGATTAAGAGCTATACTTCTTTGTTCTTTGCTTTGGTGGCGAGTATAGGGACGTGGTGACTATACCATCAGGTGCGTTAGGCCTACAAAGACAATAAGTCTTTTTCATGTTTCATGTGCGCAAGCTCAGAAGACTTAACAGAGGGGAATAAATTCATGACAACAACGTTGTGTAACGTTTGGCGAATGAATGCTTGGGATTGTAAATGTTATAGACAAATGTTCCCCCCTAGCTTTGTTCACTTACTTGCACGGGGGTGCTAAAATCAACATGATGACAGAACGGGCAATTGGTTTACGATGATACATCATGATCAGATGAGATGGACATCAGGAGTCTGGATATGACGGATCATCAGTCATGTCAGTGACACTAGGCCTAGCCTACATCATTGCCTACATCCTGTCCTACCATGCTTACGTGGTCATGGTAGGCACGGTCAGGGTTAACAAGAACTGTGGGGTCCAACATCGGGAGCGGGCGGACGTCGGACCCCACAGTTCTGTGGGTAGGGTGTAGGCCTCGTCATGGTCACGATGGTGGGGATTGTGGATTTGGGGACCCTCTGTTTTTACTTTTACAAATGATGGGCGGCCCTGCAAAAGAGTGCTACTCAGGCATTGTCTCTTGATTGTCATGACCATATTTGGTTTCACTTGAAAGAGCTCGAGTAAACATGGTAGGCCTAAATTGGGACATGCGGGAGAAAGATGTAACTTTAACCTTATGTCTATCAACGTAAATGCATGGTCAACTTGACACACACACGCATGTGTACATGGCAGACTGTATGCAGTGGTATGAGCTTTGGCTATTCTCTTCAATACTCTTACTCCCTAATCTGCTTTTGTGACATATTTGACCAATCAGAGATCAGGTTTCCAGTCACCAATTAGAGACACTGTACCAAGCACATTTCACATTATCGCCATGTCTGTTTCCAGTGGATGCATGCGTGCGTAGGCTTTGTTGATGTCATTGTGTCTGCCCCATAATTTCCCTCAGAACTCAATGCCCTGCCCTGCAGTTCTGTGAAATAATGTCGCTGTCATCTGGTAAGGTGAGTCTAAAAACTTAAATCTAAATCTTCCCTCCGTGAAGGAAAGAGGTCCCGAAATCCACAATCCCCATGATGGTGGACATGATGGAATGAGCTCTAATGGTACATGTAGCTAGCACGGTTAGGGCCTACCTGCTTTAAATTTTGTCCGATTATGTCATGAGGGCCTACAGTATGTCGGGTGCAGTCTGTCAATATTCACGATAGCTCAGTCATGTCAGTATTTTTGCACAAAGAGCATGGTCTGTAGATCTATTTTGCTTCATGATTTGTCAATTATTCCGTCATCAGCCCTTCCTTCCGGTTGTGAAAGATTGTTTCAACAAACGTGAAAAAGGGAAGTAAAGTTGGAGATTCAGGCAGAAAAAGACCAGTTGCTCAGACCAAGCTCAGAGCGATTGAGTGATTGTCACTCCCAACAGAGACATCACTAACGTTCATTTTCCCTTGCAGTGTTTTGTTATCACTTAGAAAGTGATAACATGTCCTAAAATGTCAAATTTAGCTGGGAAAATAATGAAGCAGTTATTAGATAACACTTGGACGAGTATTGGTTTTTTTTGAAAGTGTCATAAGGTTTGTGCATAGTATGTCAAGCATGTGTTCTTTCCATTTTAACAATTTGGCATGTCTAGGAACACTATTTTTTTCACAATGGCTGTACATGCAGTCACGGAGGTTCAGACAGGTCACTGTCAACTTTTGTTGCCTGAGTCCAGTGTATTGGAAATGGGAACCAGACCAGTCTTTAGTGAATGGATATTTGACTTTATTTCCCTGAAAAAAATCCCCCAGGGGTATGAACTTATCGAAAAAACAGAAAAGAAAAACATGTACGGAAAGTAAATATTTTGAGAAAAATAAAAGAAAAAAGAAAGAAAAAAAAACACTCGGGGCATGGTTCAAACCTGTCATGATGAACTCACTGACGAGCATATATTGAGTGGGATATATCGCATTACTATGATACATGTACATGTAGGTGGAAATTGAAACTTGAAAGATTGGCAATCATATTTATATTATGCCGTGACTAGTTACAGTGTCACATTCCCTGGTTTTCCCTTCTCAAGAGATATGACCCTCAGTAGTCTGGGACACAGTGCAACAAAATCGATTTCCAATTGCACAACTTTCCTTTAATAGTATTTACACAGTTCTATACATTTGTTTACTTTTTCACGCATCCTTCTTTACATGCAAACAATCTCTCTATGCTCTCAGTATTACTACTCCACTAGTAAGGGCACTAGATCTGCAAGTTGCTATTTCTATATATTTAAAACATTACATTTTGATGCAAAATGATTCAAAGACATGTCTACATTATTTCTTGATTGGAAATAAACTACGGTAATTCTTACCTCGATTCTGCAAGGCAATTTAAATGTGTTCGAACTGTGGTACTGTAGTGCTGGACTGCTTGAAATATGGAAATGCACAATCATGTGACTGAGCCAGGTGTACAGCAAAACAATTGGCCGAGCATGGCCCATGTGATACACATGTGATGTTAGAATCTTCCATTATATTTTTGGGGCGTTTTAAGTGTGCTCAAGTTCAACAAAAAATCCAATAATGGACTTCTGAATTTGTTGGTGTGTTTTTGTTAAAACTGTGCTGTAACGTCCTAAATGAACAAGCAGAATTACAACATCTATTTTGACTTTGCTTAGAAATCCAAGAAAGCGGGATTAAATCTAATTCATGGAAATAAGACTGAATGTAGGAATATTTTAGTATATATATTAGATATATTGCTCTTGACTGTTACATTTCAACCCCCAAGGATGCCCGAGATTTAGCATTTAAAACAGATTTTGTTATTTATACAGTCCCTTTTGACATTTGATTTAAGTGCAAAGTTAAAAAATATATTTATAAAACGGGTTTTGCCCTTACCCAACGTA